CAGCTGAAACATTGTGATAAATATGGCAACAAAGATGAGGATGTTAGTCGGAACAATGTAGTGTTCTGGAATACAGTTGGAATTATCTGAAACATTTTATTTTTTTTATTGAAAGACGTGAAACTGGACATTTGAATGCAAAAATTTTTTTAAAAAAATGAGATTTTAAAAGCTTAACATTAGGCAAAAGACTGCATACAAATCTAAGTTCTGTCATTTGTCTATCCATATTAATCATTATGCAAACTGAGGGTGCTTCAGCCCTAAGCAGCTTAGAGCATTAAAAAGAGACAACACCAGTGGTCTAATAGCCAAATCAGATTTCCAGTAAGAGATACAATTCCTTGCCAGACTTACCAGGATAGATAAATAAAATCAGAATTTAATCTGAGCCGACTGCAATGTTGCAAATAAAAAAAAAAAAAAAGAAAGGAAGTCATAAATGAAGTGGGGGCTATTATTTTTTTAAATTTAATTACTTCAAATAAAGATAGATTCAGAAAGAAATTAATGAAAAACTATCAGAATGTTATTTAATTTCAGTCTAAAATAAATGAAGATTCTTAATTTCAGTTTCAAACAAGAATGATTAAACATGGCATCCAATTAATTCTATAAAAAAAAAGAAGCTGGAAATGAAAGTTAAATGGTGGAAAATGGAGATTATTGTTAGATTAAATAACATAAAATTCTTCAAAATTAGCAAAACATCCCATGCAAAATAAAAATCATCTGTTCGTATATAACCCAATTTATTCTTTGGTTTGGTTTATGGCATATTCAGTTGTGAAAACAGAATAACATAAATCATAATTTCATTACTTCAAATGTCAATAAAATTTCGGCATTAAATGACCCATAAGGAGTTGATATGCCGTTAAACAACCACAGAGAAGATAATAATCAAACCAACAGGCAGGAAACGGGTCTACTGGATGGCCTCATAACCATCGTCAAGAAGGGAAAGTTGAAATAGTATGGAGACATTACAGGAGTGAAATATTTCCTTTGTTGTCCTACAAGGCAAAAGAAGATGAGTCGGATAGAGGAAAAATGGGCTGACAAACCTCACTGAGGCGACTGGACAGTCATTCACAGACTAAAACATTAACACCCGACTGCCACATATGGATGCTGGTCAGGTGCTCAGCAACCCTATGACCACACTTAGTATGGGATTGATGACGATATAATATTTGCGTATGTAAAAAAAAAAAAGTCTACTCATTGTGTTAGGAAAAATTAAGAAATAAGTTTATGTAGTCAGATTTTATTTCCAGTTGTTCAAAATTAGCAAAACATCTCATGCACCATTAAAAACTGTAAACCTTGAAGTTTGTATAATTAAATACGAAATTAAAAGTCAAATATGTCAATGATTTTTTGATGCAATGCCGTTAGTTTACTGATGTTGAGTAGAGTATCTTAATGTTTATTTTTTTAGAATTTATATTCTCTCGAGTTTATATTATCAGATAAAACACTGCACCCCCCCAAAAAAAAATCAGCCTTGAATGTCTTTGCCGAAACACCTAGTTTTTATACTGATATTCTAAGTATAGCATAGATGTGGCACAAGCCGAAAGTATGGGGTACCCACTGAGGATTGACCTCACTCTTCAGTTTGTAATTGTTTTAGCAAGACAAGCTTGCTTAACCATTATACCATGCTGAGGTGCCCAACATCTAGATTTTATATAATGACAATAATGACAGTTTGATTCTATTGTTCTAAGTTATGAATAGAAACATTATAAAATATTTGCATAGCTTGCATCAAACATTTGTGATTGAAACATAAATTACATAGGGTTAGGTATCCTGTAGCTGGAAAGTCAGGGTTGGCATATACTATGGGGATCTCCATGCAGTACTTTGTAGCCCTCACTATCTTAACATGTTTTTTTCTACCTACATTTATATACGTTATAAATTAAACTAAGCACAACTGACTATTAAAGTCAAAATTCCACAACTGACTATTAAAGTCAAAATTTCAAAATTTTTCATCCTTTAATAGGATGAAAAATTTTGGAATTTTGATGTCGTTCTGGGTTTGTTCCCCCCACCCCTCTTGAATCTGTGAATTTGTTTTGATAATGCTAAGTTCTCGGAAAAAAAATGCTATATAAAATTCACCACTTTCTATTCATATTATCGAATGTGTTAAATTATTCAACTTTTAACAAAAAAAAAAAAAATCTCAAGCTGATGTTAAAACGTTGCTGCAAAACATTGATTTATTTAAGATGGAACGATCTGTCATGACATGTCTCTAATTTGTATTTAGAAGCATTTTATTTACAGGTTCATTTTTTTCTAGTTGAATTGTTCACCTCTATTGCATATGATCCATTATTGTACATAATTAGGTCATGATAAAATTTTTTTATTTTATATGAATACTACCTTATGAAAATTGAGATGTAGCAAAATGGGGGCAAGGGCCCATATCAGAGGTGTGGCACAAGACCCGTTTATCACCCCTGATTAAAGTTAATGGTGGAAAATGGATATTATTTGATCATTTGAAATTAGCCAAAAACATCCATGCATTATCTTAAAAAAAAAAAAAAAAAAAAAAAAAATATCATAATGCAGCAACCATTAACATCATATTGTTCATGGTTTCCATTATGCTTTTGTTAGTCACTTGCTATATATGAGGGGGTGCTGTAAAAGGATCATCCTGTTATATTGAGCATATGGTGGCAGAACCAAGAAAAACAAAGTTTTAAAGAAATAAACAATTGTATTAATGAAAAATATAACAAATGAAAAATATAACAAATGAAAAATATAACAAATGAAAAATATAACAAATGAAAAATATAACAAATGAAAAATATAACAAATGAAAAATATAACAAATGAAAAATATAACAAATGAAAAATATAACAAATGAAAAATAAACAAATGAAAAATATAAAAATGAAAAAAACAAATGAAAAATATAACAAATGAAAAATATAACAAATGAAAAATATAACAAATGAAAAATATAACAAATGAAAAATATAACAAATGAAAAATATAACAAATGAAAAATATAACAAATGATAAATCAATGTAAATGTCTCATTGGAGGAAGGAGATAAGTGGAATTGTAAATGGCGTCTGCAGGGACATAAGATGGGAGGGTGAGTTGTTTACTTATTGCAGTAAATGCCTTTGGTAAGTTATCTATTTGGAGATGGGAGGTTTCTTTCCAATGAAGTCTGTGAACATGAGCCAAGATGCCATCCAACTGACCAATATCTCCCTTGATGGACTTTTATATCCATTTTATAGGCTCAAATCAGTTCTGCTTTTTATTTTGTTTCTTTAGGCAGGGACATGTACTATAGGGTGGAAATAGTGGATTGTATTGCTTATTTTTTCTTTGAGTGTGTGAGCAAAATCGGAAGCTACCTATGGAGCCAACACTCAGTTGACGGAATTATAGTTCAGTCTTGCCAGTGGTGGAAATTAGTGTCGCATGAAACAGAAAAGGATCTAGTTTTAGAAAGAACATAACAATCCCAACCAAGAAGGAATTTAATAATAAAATCAATTCTGATGTTTGTTTGCTTAAACTTCCTCAGTGTACTTGTTGGTGATGAATTATTTTCTAACCTACAACCTCTTTCTTACAGAAGAAATATCACAAGTTTCTCTCTGCTTTATTGCTGTTTAGAAAGTTTTCAGACAAACTACATTCCTCAGTTCCAGCAATTCTAACTTTCATAGTGAAGACCCGCCACGCCACGCACATTGTAGAGAACTACTCTCATTGCCTTCATATTCCATTGGTCAGATGTAAGTTCCACTCTAGCAGCTTCCCCCCCCCTCGATACAAATCGCTGCTTTGTGGAACTGACTCCCAAGTGGATGCTTCTCTGATCACTAGAAATCAGAACGGTTAACCCTTATCTTTCTTACATATCACCAAGCACTAAACTGTACATCTTAACCCTCTATCTTGAGAGGCTTTTGGGCATTATTGTCAATAAAAAGGAAGAAAGACTGCAAGAGAAAGACTGCAAGAGAAAGACTGCAAGAGAAAGACTGCAAGAGAAAGACTGCAAGAGAAAGACTGCAAGAGAAAGACTGCAAGAGAAAGACTGCAAGAGAAAGACTGCAAGAGAAAGACTGCAAGAGAAAGAAAGAGAAAGACTGCAAGAGAAAGACTGCAAGAGAAAGACTGCAAGAGAAAGACTGCAAGAGAAAGACTGCAAGAGAAAGACTGCAAGAGAAAGACTGCAAGAGAAAGAGAAAGACTGCAAGAGAAAGACTGCAAAGAGAAAAGACTGCAAGAGAAAGACTGCAAGAGAAAGACTGCAAGAGAAAAGAAAGACTGCAAGAGAAAGACTGCAAGAGAAAGACTGCAAGAGAAAGACTGCAAGAGAAAGACTGCAAGAGAAAGACTGCAAGAGAAAGACTGCAAGAGAAAGACTGCAAGAGAAAGAAAAAAAAAAGTGGGCCAGGCCGAGAACTTTTCAACACTTCTATCTATGTCACACTTTCACTGTATTGTCAAACATTTTATCAAATACATAGTAAACAGGTATGATAGGTGACATCTGTTGCATGTATCTATGAGAGACAGCTAACCCCTTTCGTGCAGTTATTTGATATCTGTGACCTGTAAATTGTTGCAATTGTTCTCAGATAAGAGTGAAGCAGTCTCCCTTCTCCACACTGTTTTTATCAAGACACTATTGGCACACAGCTGAAATTTTGGGGACATACAATGAAGAAAGGTTTTGATTGACTGATTTGTTTTTTATGGCTTATCAACCACTTGCAAGTTATTTAAAGCTAGAATTTTTTTTTCTTTTTAAAAGTGTATGAATTTTTGGAATTAATTATTTACTGATACAAGTCCTACTAATTAACACATAGCTGGAGAGAGAAGAGAGGGATTCATATTTCTCCAAAAAGTATTTGCATGTTAGTGAATAATTGAAATTCAGCTCTGATTTCCAATTCTGAGCCATTATCCATTACCCAAGCTTAAAGCACCTGGTATTCTCAAGTGATCACCCATCTAGGTACTGACCAGGCTTGATGTTGCTTAACATCGGTGATTGTACAAGAATTGGTGTTTCAACATGATATGGCTGTAAGCTGGAAAATTTAACACCCACAGGGCACTTCAAAGAAAAACAAAAAAAAACCTATTTTACAAGTTTGGGCAAATGGAAAATAATCCATTAATGATTGGCAATGTTTAACAAATGTACCTGTAAAAAAAATGATGTGTCAAAAAAGGATGTTTTTTCCTTTGATACTGCTATTATTTTAACATTCACATCCAAAGTTTGTTTTAAATAGTGATGATTAGAATTGTAATAAAACCTAAACATGTTATGAAAGTGAATTTATATATATTTTTGTTCTTGAGGATTTACAACAAAAATATTAAATACTACTTATATATTAGATTGTTTATTTACAAGAATAATTTTATATTCACAACATTCTAAAAACTAATGCAATACTATAATTACCATTTATCAATTTATAAAGAACTAAATACAAAACTATTTTTTAATTCATAATTTATAAAAATTTATTAAATTATTAAAATGTGAAGCAGTTATGATGAAACCCTTATTTACCATTTTAAAAAACTCCATTGACTGGCAATTAGTTGGTGTTTTGCCAATCATTCCAATAAACAATCTAATAAATAAATACTGTTTACTATTTTTGCTGGCCATTCCCAAGTACAAAGAAAATGTCTAAATTTATTTTCACATGTTTAGGTTTAATTAAAATTCTAATCATCATTTTTAAAAAAAATAAAAATTGCTGAAGAGTGAAGGTCGTTAAAATAATAGCAGTCTCAATAGAAAAACTGTCCTTCTGACAGTTTTTTTTAATTTTTTTTTTATGAAAGTTCAAGTTTGCTGAACAGTGTTTTCATCGACATGTTTACTAGTTTACACTCCCTTCATAATTTTTATTGTTTTAAAAGGAGTTTTAGAATTTTAATAAAATTGTAACTGTATGAAAAGTGGATTTATACATGCAATATTTATTACTTACCATATTACATATACAGTGTAACCCGGATATAAGAGAAACCCGGATATAAGAGACTTCTTCACCAGTCCCGACAACTCTCTTATATCCGGGTTACACTGTATATATATATTTTTAAGACATTTTATGTTTATACATTCTTTTTATAGATACAAATATTCGTCCTCCGACAAGATATTTTCTATAAAAACTTCTCTGACATTCAGGCCAGTAAATGTTGTTTAATACTGTTTATTATAAACAGAGCATTTACTTAAATATTTGTATAACCCACATGCACGGTCTTGGTGTCTACGGACTCTCTAACCCACATGCACGGTCTTGGTGTCTACGTCAAGGAACATCTCCCCCTGGCCAGAGAGTCCTCTCTTGAATCGCCTGACCAGTCATACATGTGTCTCCGTCTCTCTCTCCTCAATGCGGTAAGTTATCTCTTCTTCCTTTACCGCTCTCCATCCTCTCAAGACTGTGAGATACTTGATAGCATTTCAGACAACATAGACAAGGCTCTCTCCTCCACCCGTTTGCTCACATTTTTTGTGTTTGGAGACTTTAACGCCCATCACACTCTGTGGCTTAAGAATGCTACTACTGACCATGCAGGCATTCAAACGCTTAATTTTTCAATCTCCCATTCCCTCACACAGATAGTTAACTTCCCCACTCGTTTTGCCCTCAACCGGGTAAGTAAAGCCTCTCTACTCGACCTGTGCTTTTACCTCCATCTCCGAATCCTGCAGCGCCTCGCAACTATGCCCTTTTGGTAACTCTGACCATGCAGTCATATCGGTTAACATCTCCTTTAAAGAACCCCCTATAAAGAACCTCCTACCACTAGAACTTTGTTCTATTACCAACGAGCTGACTGGGACGCGTTCCGTAATTTCCTCCGCGATGTCCCCTGGGATGGAGTCTTTAAGCTCCCCGTCCAAGAATGTGCTTCTGAGGTCTCTTCCTGGGTTAAAGCTGGAATCGACGCTTTCATCCCATCAAGGAAATATAGGGTTAAGTCGCGCTCCTGCCCCTGGTTTTCGGCTGCTTGCTCAGCCGCCATCGCCCATAGGAACCACTACTTCCACCTATACCGTAGCGACATGTCTGACTGCAATAGACGTCTCTTTGCCGCCGCCCGTAACGATTGTAAGCGTGTCCTAAAATGATGCTAAGTCACTATTTGCGGCTCGAATGAAGGAACGTATTGCATCTCGCAAATTTGGCTCCAAAGATTATTGGCGTCTCTGCAAGAGTGTATTGAATAAGTGCAAACCTCTATACCTCCTCTATTCAACCAGTTCGAAGTCTTGACCTCCTCTACCGACAAGGCTGAATGCTTTGCTCGAAATTTTCATCCAACTCGACGCTCGACTCTTCTGGTGTACCCATACCCGACTTTCCTCTTAGAACTGAGGCCATATTGAGTGGTTTAAACATAACCCCAACCTTGGTACTGGGCGTTATCTCCAATTTAGATCTCAACAAGGTGAGTGGTGGAGATGGGATACCAGCCATTGTCTTAAAAGAAATGTGCGCCTGAACTGGCACCCGCCCTTTCGAAACTATACAACTACTGCCTCAAGGAATCTTGTTTTCCTGACTGCTGGAAGTCCTCTTCGATCGTTCCTGTCTTCAAGAACTCCGGCGACCCCTCTGACCCTTCCAACTACCGTCCTATCAGTCTCCTTCCCCTCTTCGCAAAATCTTCGAAGCTCTAATCAATACCGGGGTGGTTAACCACCTCACATCCAATAATCTGCTCTCAGACAAGCAATATGGTTTCCGCTTTGCCAGATCTACAGCCGATGTGCTCACAGCCATCACGGAAACAGTCTACCGAACTCTCCAAAATAACGGGAAGCCTGAGCCGTGGCACTAGATATCTCCAAAGCATTTGATAGGGTTTGGCACGCCGGCCTTCTCCGCAAGATCCAGGGTTATGGCATTACGGGTCAATTATATAACGTAATACAATCATTCCTGTCAAACCGTGAATTGAAGGTCGTTCACAACGGATTCTCCTCCAGTTCCTACCCCACGAACGCAGGAGTTCCTCAAGGCTCCATCCTAGGCCCCACTCTATTCCTTATCTATATAAATGACCTTCCTGACGCCCGTAACTTCTCAAGTCGGCATCTACGCGGATGACACCACAATTTATTCCTGCCTCAAAAACAAATCCAGTCTCGCTGACAAAACTCACCTTGCCGCGTGCGCCTCGAAAAGGACCTCCAATCGATTGTGAACTGGGGCATGATTTGGCTGGTCAACTTCAACGCTTCGAAGACTAAACTGCTCTCTATTAATCACCACAGAGAGCCTTCCTTCCCTCCATTATAATGTCTGACGCTCAACTTCCCGAGAGCAACTCTCTGCAGCTTCGGTCTCACGTTGACTGCTGACCTGAGATGGAATAAATACATCGAGTCAATTGCCTCGTCCACTGAGAGGAAAGTTGGCTCCCTGAGCCGTGCTAGGAAGTTTTTCTCCCGAGTCGATCCTCCAGATATACAAATCCACAATTTGGCCTTGCATGGAGTATTGCTGCCATATATGGTCTGGCACCCCTTCTGTTTGCCTCGGGGTTCTTGATAGGCTCCAGAAGCGGATATGTAATATGGTTGGCCCTACCCTGGCATCTCGTCTACAGTCACTTTCTCACAGACGCACAGTCGCCTCCCTCTGTCTGTTCTACAAATACTTTCATGGAAATTGCTCCAAGGAACTGCATTCGCTGGTTCCCAAACTTCATGAGTTCAAGCGCCCTATGAGGCTGGCATCCCGCTCTCACCCCTTCACTGTGAAACTCATAAATGTAGCCGTCTCTTCTACTCTAATAGCTTCATGTCTCGCACCTCTTGCCTGTGGAACTCTCTTCCCTTCTCCTGTTTCCCTGAGAGTTATAATCTCCAGCTATTCAAGTGTAATGTCAATCGACATCTCCAGTTACCTTAATCTATCTACTACCCTCATCCTTTCTTCTATCACTCCTATCTGATCTTCCTATTTTCTGTAACCCCTTGCGTCCTAGTGGCTCCCCCTTGTTTGGGGTGAAATGCTTAAAAAAAAAAAAAAAAAAAAAAAAAAAATGTATACATAAAATGTATTAAAATAATTGTTGGACTTGTCCATTTCATTTTATATATATATATATATATATATATATATATTTGAAGTGGTCTAAAGAAACAGATAATGCCCAGAAAAAGCATGTTTATTTTTGTTTTATTGTTCATAGACATTAGAAATTTGTGAATAAAAAGATTTTCATGGTTATTTCTTTAGTGCAACACAAAGATTCAAAGGCATATTGGCATCGCCAAAAATGCATTCCAAAAGTTAAGCATAATATTAGGAGACAAACATTTTATTGGAAAAAAAAAACAAAGTAGTACTGAGCTGTTACATGATATCTGTCCTCCTGTATGCCAGTGAAGGCTGGATATATTCTCAAAGATGATGAAGAGACTTGAAGCAACAGAAATGTGGTTCTACAGAATGATGCTAAAGATATCATGGGCTAAACATGTGAGCAACAACAAGGTTTTGGAGAGAATGGAAACAAAAAAGAAACCTATACTTAAAGCTGACAATTGAAATTTCTGGGGCACATAATTAGGAAGGAGGGTTTGGAAAACCTGATACTCACAGGGCAGATTGAGGGGAAAAAAAGAGAGAGGAAAGCAGTGCATAACATACTTGATGGGTTTGAGAAAATGGATGGCAGAAATAACAAAAAAGACAGAAAACTTATTAAGTATGTTCATATTAGAATTCTATCTTACAGAATCTAATCGACTAAAAGCTACCTATCAAAATAGTACATTAAGCGTACTGGTTTTAATTGATTGAGTGATTGATTTGTTTTCTACAGCTTAATACTTTGCAGGTTATTTAAAGTGAGATAATATTTTGGATTGTAAGAATTTTTTTGTTTTGGGGAGATAATGATTTAGTGATACAAGTCTTACTGTTTAATCCATAGCTGCGGGGGAGAAAAGGTGGATTCATATCTTCCCCATGGGTATTAGCGCATAAGTGAATATAACGAACCCAACAGGAATTGGAATGATCTATTATCCA